GCCAGAACCCTGGACCTGGAGAAGCCACGTGGAGACCCCTTCCAGCGCTGAGATGCTTACAATGCCACTGGACCCACAAGACTTTCTGCCCACTGGCCTGTGATCGTCCTGCATTCGGTGTCATTGCATGTGTTTTGTAAGTCTGAAGAGGACTTTATAGATTGGTATCAGACATATGGGCTAATACCGGACTTATGGGCTTGGACTGGATGGGTTGGGATGTTTTCTTAATGTACAATTACACTTTATAGAAAACTCTCTCTTATACACATATGAGCTTCTATGGATTTGGTTCTCTAGTCTACTCGGACTAACACAGGGACCTTCTCATGGAGGCTGAAGCTCCCAGTAACTCATCACCTGTAGGTTGCTCTTGAGAAAAGGGGACGGGCCATGATACCTGATGCTTCCAGGTCAACTACAAGCTGGCTTGTAACCCAGTCTCCCTGCTTCCTGGTCCTGTGGTCCTGGGCAGACAGGTCCCTTTCTCTGCGCATTTGCCTTTCTGTCAAATGGACGCAATGCCTCCCTCCCCATGCTTTGTTTTCGTCTTCTTGGGCTGCTGTCACACAAATGCCACAAGTGGGTGTCTTTAAAGAACATCAATGTATAGCCTCACAGATCTGGAGGCTGAAAGTCCAGATCCAGGTCTGAGCTGAGTCAATTCTTAGTCCCTGGCATTCCTTGTGTGTTAACTTGTTGAACTCCTCACAACGCTTGTCTTACTCTTCTCCCATGAGTCCCTGTGTCGATTATGGTCAGTTTATAACTCCGAAGTGATTAAGTTTCTAACCCACCCTATTTGGGAGACTGGGTGATACAAATGTGTACAAATGGCTAAGTGCTTGAGTACTAGCCAGAAGGTTGGTGGTTCAAACCCACTCAGAGGTGCCTCAGAAGACAAGCCTGAAGATATGCTTGTTAAAGATCGCAGCCTTGAAACCCCCATGGAGCAGTGTTACTCTGCACATATAGGGGGCAACGAACAAGAACATGAGTATGATCTAACTAACAATTCCCTGTTTTTAAGCAGAATCCCATCCATAAGGTCAGGGTAGATGGCAACCTATTTTAGGAAGACACAACTGAAATTATAGCACAGTTGTTTGTGGGACGAACCAGTGACGATAAAGATGAGCTCATGGTTGATGCTTGCAAGGTGGAACTGGGGCGGAGCTTGGATTCAGACCCTGAGGTTTCAATCTTACTTTGCCCTGTGCTGGTTATGTGACCCTGGGTGAATGGATTGACCTCTCTGAGCCTCACTTGTTTTTCTACAGAGGTTGGTCAGATTACATTACATTACAGGTGACTGCCTGATCTTGCCCAACAAGTGACAACATTCTCAGGGACCTACCAGTGCATAGATATGCACTGCCATATCTATGAGAGAGGCACCAAAGCTTACCGGTAATCTCAGTACCTTAACGCAGTCTCTAACCCAGAGCCATTGCTCAGGGAATATTAATGGCTTCAGTGAACATCCCCTACGCTATGCTCTCCTCTGGGGTCTTCCCAGGGAGAGTTGCAAACATTCAGAAAGTGGTATGAACAGCTGTGAGCCAGAAGAGAACCCACAAGGCTACAGGAACTCCAA